GTATGTCTTGAAGCCATGTATTGTATTACTGCTTGCTTTGCACTTGTTGCACAAAATAATTTTGACTTGTTGGAGTATTTGTATGTTTGTGTTTGTGTCTGTACGTGTGTGGTTCCACACAGATTTTAATTATGTTTTCTCCTAGCTTCTAAAGAATGAAGCTAGAAATGAGGGTAGAACTTTAGCATTTTGATATAGATCACATCCAATCAGTAGATTTCTTTGGACTTCCTGGGCTTTGCAACAACATCGATGCTTCCCATCCATGAACATGGGATGCCTTTTCCAATTTTGTGTTTCCTTCAATTTATATCATCCCTGATCGACATTTTCATTTTGGAACTTTGTCATCTCTTTTGTTCAATTTTATCCTATGCATTTAATTTTGTAGCTCAGTGGGAGCAATTACCTCTCGATTTCTAGTCAGGTTAAGTTCCTACTGGTTGATAACAGTGCTTCTTGTGTTCTCTGCTAATTTGGTATCCCGAGACTCTGCTGAATGCACCTTTTACTTTAATTGCTTCTTTTTTGTGTGAAAGTCGCTGAATTTCTCCACAAGGGGATGCTATCCAAAAATAATGACACACTGATAATTTTGCTCCAATTTCCATAATGTTGATACCTTATCTTGCCAAAGGGCTATGGCTGAGAAGTGCAGCACCACTTTGGATAGTTCTAGTGAAAGCAGACATCCTTTTTTTCACTCTAGGTCTGAGACTCAATGCATTCTCCTTTTTTTACATTTGATAGCTGTTAAAATGATAGCTGTTGCCTTATTGCAGGTGACTTTTATTATGTTATATTACATTCCAGGTACAACTAGTTGTTTCAGTTATCTCTTTCAGAAAGGGATGTTGTATAGAATGCATTTCTGAATCATTTGACATGACCCTCTAGGCCATGTCTTATTTTGTTGCTATGTCATATCTTTTTAATTAATTTTCAAATACTAAATCATCTTTAAATTCCATAGATAAATTTCACTTACCATAGTGAATAATCTTGTTTTTATGATGTGAGGATGAAATTTTCTGGTGTTCTGTTGCTAATTACCCATCAGGCTTCATCACATTGTCCAGTATTTCTTTTGTTATTCTTGGTGGCTCCCTATCAAGTTTTCACATCAATGTGTTTAGAGAAATTTTTTTTTTTGGTAATGGGGTTTGGACTCTGGTCCCTGCACTTGCAAGGCAGGTGGAAAAACCACTGTGCTAAATCCCCAGCCACCTTATTTTTTAATACTTAGTGATAATTGATGTTATTTATTTTTCTTTAAGTGTGGAAAGAAGTCAACAGTGTGGCCATCATTTCCCAAGTTTCAAGGATGGGAAGTTTGTTATGCATCTTGTAACTTGTTCCTGATCTGCTTAGGTTTCCCACTGTTTTCTGATTCAGTTTTAAGAGATGATTCCATTTTGCTAAGGGATTTATCCCTTTCTTCTCCATCACCCAATCTATTGGCACAAAGTTGATCATAATTCTCTCCAATAATGTTTTGCATTCTCATGGTGCTATTTTTAATGTTTTCCTTTCCATCTCTCATTTTATATATTTGGTTACTCTCTTTTCTTTATTTTTGGGATGGGTGTTTTATTTTGTTTAGAGTTTGGAAGGGATACCTCTATGTATCGTTGAATTTTTTTAAAATTTTGTATATTTTATATTATTCATTTATTCTTTCATATTTATTTATGTCATTTCATGTTGGGTTTAATTTTTTTCCTGTTTGAGAGTCATTATGAATTATGTGTTGGTTATCAAGATCTTTGTTCCTTTGTTATGTGCATGTTCACCACTATGAATTTGCCTAGTAATACTTCTTTTTCTTTATGAAATTTGCCTAGTAATACTTCTTTTGCTGTTTCCTGCAGGTTTCAGTATGTTTTGTACCCATTTCATTTGTTTCACAATTTATTGTAAACTCCAGTTTCCTTTGCTTCCTTGATCTATTGATGCTTAAAAAAAGATAATTTTCATGACTTTGCAAACTTTCCAAAGTTTTTCTTCATATTGTTCTCTATTTTGTTTTGTTCATAAAAGATGCTTCATAATTTTTATATTTTTTAAAAATTCATTGATACTTCTTTTCTCTTTATTTCCTATGGTCTATCCTATAGGATGTTCCATGCTGTTATGAGAAAACTGGATTTTGCAGCTGATGTGTGGGATTATCTGTAGATGTCTATATGCTGCATTTGGCCTCATTTCCAAATTTTTATAATAATGAAATTTTTATGAAACATAAAATTTCACAAAGAAATGATAAAAGCAGCAATAGTCATTACACCATCATTATCTTCAAAGTAGTTACTCAAGAATACAAGACATAGACCAAAAAGATTCTCATTCACAAGAAAAAAAAAACAGGTAAAACATGAATCTATCTTTTCTGTGTACTAAGATAATCTAATGCATATGTTTTCGTGTGTGTGTGTGTGCGTGTGTGTGAGTGTGTATGAACAGTTCAATATTGAAGGCAGGATATTTCACTTCGCAGCTAATGCAGTACCAGAATCCATTGTCCATCTCCTTCTTCAAGCTTATCTGTATTTGTGCACATATTTTAGTACTCTGATATTGAACATATGACATTACAGAAAAGAGAGAATATATATATATATACACACACACACACACACACACACACACACAGCTTTAAAAATTGAAATTGTGTACTATACATAAATACATAAATTTTTGCTTTATAGTAATAAATTGTATAAACAGTATATATGTCTATGCATGTAAATTTATAATAAATATATGTATTCTATATGTGTGTGTGTGTGTGTGTGTGTGCGCTATATATAATTACCTTTTGTTATATGAACACTTTCATTTTTTTTTCTCTTATTGAGTTTACTGGTACATTTTAGGTATACAGTACAGTTACATTCGTCATTGACATCTTGTACCTTTACATGACAGGTTTTGGTTCCCATTTTTTTCCCTTGTCCCTGCCCTCTATTAACCCTCTCCTCCCCTCCACATTTACAAACTCTTTATTTCCATTTTTCATTTTCTCTTATTTTTTTATGTCACCTTATTACGTTTCCCCTACCCTTCCCACTTTCTCTAAACCTTTAGCCCTTTTCTTCCCATTTCACAATGTGAATTATCTCATTAGGATCTTGTGTACTATTATAGTTAGCAATGACCCTGATTTTGGCACATGAACCCTTTATTCATTTGATGGTAAATGCATGTTCTCATTTTGCTGATTTTTGACTTTAAAATCTCTTTTATCTGGTATTCATTTCTTTAATAGTTACTTTTCTCTCATGGCTGAGACAGAATACCAGACCCCCAAAGTTAAAGGGGAAGGAGTGTCCTAGGCTTACATTTCATAGAGACTTCAGTTCACAATCAGCCAATACAAGGCAAGGCCCACCAACTGGCATTGGAAAGGAGAAGCAAGGTGGCACACGAAGGCAGCGAGGGTGCTCAGAGACAGGAGCAGCCTCTCCCCGTCCCTTTGATGTCATTCGGACTCCACAAGGTGGGCAGCACTCACATCCCTCATCCCAGTGCCCCTGAGCCTAGCTTTGCATCATGAAGCAACCCCAGCTTCACCCCCTCTAGATCCAGCCTGTGACCCCGGGAGGCTTAGGGGGGACACCCAGACCCAAACCATAACAGTTTCCTCTACCTGTTGCTGCTTTGTCTTCCCTTTGTGTGGGATTTCTTTTCAATCCCTTCACATTTAGTCTATGTGCATCCTAAGAAATCAACTGAGATCCTTTTAAGGAAGGTATAACTGGTTTTGTTTTATTCATTCTTTCACTGCTGGTCTAATGGTAGAAGAATTTCTTACTTTCTTAGCAATTACTGAGGAGGAAAGGTTTCTTTTGCCAGTGACAACTTTGTTTTCTAGCTTAATGTGTTTTCTTTCTTGTAAGCCTTATCATAATATTCTTTCATTGAACTAGCTGCATATTTGATTTCTTATGCTTTTTTTACTTCTCATATTTATTATTATCTTATTATTGTAGAAGAAATCAATATTTCAATGTATATAACTTTACAAGTTGGGACTCTGATCCTCTGAAAGGGTTTTATTTTATGATCCTTTTCATGATTTATAGGTATATTTTCAGGTGAGAGATTACAACTATTTCAATGTTTTCTGCCGTAAAATTTTTTTTCAAATAATTCTAGGAACCCAGTCTCTGCCTGTCATTTTTTACTGGTGGAACCTTTTCTTGTACCCTAAATATCCCTCCTGCGACTTTTTCTAGAGTATTCCACCAGCCAATCTCACCTCTCAAGGGATGCACCATAGGACATTTCCACTATACCATAAAACTCTGAATCCATGATGACTTAGTTCCTGTTTTTCTCTCTAACCACACCAGACTGGAGAATTCTGCCATTATGCTAAGAATCACATCTTGGTGTATTGTAGACTCAGTTTTTTTTCTTCTATTTTTTTCATTGAGTTTATTGGTACTTTTTAGGTATACAGTACAGTTACATTCATCATTGGGATGTTGTCCCTGTACATGATGGGACTTCCTTCTCATTTTTTCCCTATACCCCAGCCCTCCCTTCAGCACCTCCTCCCTTCCCTATTGACAAAACTTTGTTTCCATTTTTTCATTTCGTCGTATTTTCTCTTTTCCCTCATTTCCTTTACCTTAGCCTTCCCACTTCCCCTGCACCATTATCCCTTTTCTTCATATTTCACATTGTCAATTATACCATTTGGATCTTATTTACTCTTTTAGTTTTTCATACCAGAGAAACTATTTGGTATTTACACATGTGTGATTATTTATTTCACTAAAGAGTATGACCCCAATATGTATCCATTTTCCTACGAATGACTCATTCTTTATGGCTGAGTAGTATTCCATTTTATACAAAAACCACATCTTCTGCAGACCCAGTTTTTAAAATAGTTGTGCTTTATAAAATGAAAAATTATTTTCAAAGAAGTTTATGATAACATATGAAATCAATTTATTTAATCAAAAAGAACAGAAAGATCAAGAAAAGAGATGATAAGGATGCAAAGGAAAGTCATGACATAGGTTCATGACCTCACTGGAAAGAAGCAACTACAGTTGAAAGTAAAGGAAATTGGTCCCTCTCATTAATGATTCAGTTGTCTTTGAGGAGATGGCTGATACTGCTGCTCCATTATCATCTGTGAGAAAAGAAAAGAAAAAAATTATTAAAGTGTTTCCAAACTGATATTAGTAGCATGATCTTTCTGAGAGACAAAATGAAAAGTAAAATCTATTAATGAAGAATAGATTATAGACTTGTGTCAAATCATTTTTAGAATTCTTGACAAAAAGGGAGATTGTATAGCTTTTTATAAAACACGTGGTTTTAATTGCTGATAAGTACAGGAGGAATATAAAAATCATCTCCTGGGAATCCATAAATATATGGGCATGCATGGAATCTGTGATCAACACTTTCTGAGGAAAGCATTAATTTTTGCTTGATCTGTGTCAGGGTTTCCAAGGTATAGAATTACATCAGCCCACTGGCAAGTGTACATACGCTCGTGTCAAAAATCTTCCAGAGTCCTATCTACAGCTAACAAAGATATGTGTACCACAAAGTTCATTATTCACACCAGAGTTCATCTGGTCTAATGGTATATCAGGGTGGAGAAATAATCACATTTTACAGACAGCATTCCTATGTTCACCACTGTAAAAAAAAAAATCCCTATTAGTTTTGGTGGATCTGCACTATGTTTGCAACATTTATGCACGTGCACTAACCAAAGTTTGAACTTACAAAGGGGCTATTTGTCTAAGAAATATGTCATAATTCTTAGGAAAAGAGTCAAAGAAGTTGAAACTGTCAGGCACTCTGAGCACTGTGTTTCTACTCACCCAAGTGTGGGCTTTATTCCGGGCAGGTGTCTGAGAAGGAGAAGAAGAGACAAGCATGGTGGTTGGAATTATTCAATGAATTAAAAACACTTGCAACAGCACTTTGATGAAAACATGAATTTTGGAATAATAATTCCAAGCTGAGGCTAACACTAAGGATGATTTCATTCCCAGTGAGTTTTGCTATCATCGGACTCAGTGTGGTGACTCTACCTGTTAGGATGACAGGTCTTATGTTTTGTTTTGGAATTCCATAATCCTGAACCACCCTGGCAAACTTCTGCAGTTCTTGCACCTTAAGAAGGGCGCTTTTCCCTGCAAATCAATGACAATAAATCAGAACAGGTGCACTTAGACTGTTATTTGATTTCCAAAGCATTCCCTGGGCTGCCCGGTGATGCTGGGGACCCCACCATCTCCGCCCTAACTCCTTCCAGCAGCAAAGTCATAAGGGGCTTTGGGTGGAGTCCACACAATGAGCAGCACATGGTCTTCCAGTTCCTAGGACTGCTGAGGACACAAAACTGCATTTTTGCTGTTAGTCTCCATGTCCCTGAATGGTATGCAATCTCCCAATGCTTCGGGGTGTGGAGATGGCTGTGTCTAAGAGCTGGGAATCTCTGCACGCTGGAGCTTCTCACTTTCCTATTTCTGTGTTCTGAAGCCGTTTCCTGGTTTGGTGGACCCTTCATTGGGTGAGGACTGGCAATGATCTCAGCTTCTCGCCAGCACATCCTTCCACCTCACTGAAGTAATGAGGACCAGAGGAACAAATAAACAAGGCAAAACCCCTTCATCTTTCTTAAACTGTTTGACCCAGTTTTCCGGAAATGTCTACGTGTCCCATTGCCCCGTGGGGCAAATGCTTGTCTTGCAGCCCATGTGGAGTTCTCAGCAGTCAGAAAAATTCAGTGGCTGTGAGCATTGTATTTGAGGAACTGATTCTGATGTGCTGTTTCTTTACAGAGCAGCGGATTTAAGATTTTTTATTGGCTAATTATTTCAAAGGAGGAGACTGTGGGAAAACACAGTCTGACTAGGGGAAAATCACATATGGCAAATCACACTTGAAATTTTGCTCAAGTAGGTGACACAGACCAATTATGGCTGGTGTTTCTTTTGGATAAACTTTGCAGTACTTTTTGCGTCTTTGCCCCTTACCATTTTCAGCAAAGCACTCAGTTAGGACCCCAGAGAATATGCACATCTTTAATTTCAAAGACCTTTTCAGTACCCTTGATGCCCTAATGGTAAAAATTTCCATCCCGTGTCTGAACACATTTCTACTCTGGGGCTTCTAAGGAGATGATACACGAACACAGTTCCCTTTGCTACTGAGAGCATAGGTCAATTTTATATCTATCCCATTTACACAACTGAGAAGTTGCTCTGCAACTTACCAGTGGCTAAAATCACATTCGTTGTTGTGCCTGCTTCATCCACGTTGGTGCTGTGAAATATTATGATGTTTTCTGTGTTATACTCAATTGAGAAGTAGTTTTCACCCAAGTCTACAATGGAAAAAAAAATTGCAATTGAGTGTAGTTAAAATTTACCCCCTGGATTGGGCAGGATTTATTTGGAATGGGCTGGTTTGAATTCCTCCTTTCAGAAAAAGTCCATTTCATCAACCTTCCTCCAACATGTGACAGTCAGCTGTGAATACCAGTAAGGGAAAAACACATTTTACATTCTTCCTCCCTAATCCGGTGAGCATGTGCACCTTTCAAAATATGTAAATACTGGCACAGCTCACTGTGTTTTAAGAGGTAGAAATTGCTAGGGCAAGATCTAGAGGTAAATAGGAGAGAAAGAAAATCTCCCTATATGAGCCAGTGAGTCAAAAATCAATCAATGAAGTTTCAAAAATTTTATCACTCAGTTTTCAAGCCTCACCAATATTTTACTGTTATTGCATGAGTATGAAATGAAAAGTACCTTGTTAACATGCACTAAAAACTTATCAATTTTGTTGCAGTACCGATAAAGAGGTTCTGGTTACATCATTGGAAAATTCTAGACATATAGGTTATGCAATTGTAGCTTGAATGTGCTACCAATGATTATATTTATATAAATTAAAATAATTATAGGGTATAATTTGAAAATTACGGTGTTCACTTCTTTCTATGAAATGAAATATTTAGTGTTGGTCTATGTAATAGTACAGGACTAGCTTTTGAAAATTATTCTCAATCATAGACATAGAAGTTCTGTTTATTGCTCTGATTATTTTTACTGAAATTCAAGATAATGGCAACTCAATTTGAATATTTCATTGTTATTTTAACTCAAACTTTGGTGTTTAATATAATTTTATTGTATGTGAAGTGTGGTTTATCTACAAAACATACAAAGCAACTTTCTTTCTTTTTTTTGTTTGTTTGTTTTTTGAGACAGTGTCTCACTATGTAGTTGAGACTGACCTGAAATTCACTATGTAGCAAAGGTTTGTCTCGAACTCACAGCTATCCTCCTGTCTCAGCCTCCCAAATGCTGAGATTACAGGCCTGCATCATGAAACCCTGCTAAAAAACAACTTTCAATGCATCATGAAATCACTGACTATGTTCATTCAGTGAAAAGAAGGTGTGGACATATTTGCTAAGTGGATGAGTGGTTTTTCTCATTTAAATTAGTTTTATCCATATCTCTTCCCTCAAAAACCATTGAAAATATAGGAGGGGATGAAAATTACTACACATTTTCCAGGTGTGAAGAAACCTTTGCAGTACGAGACTCATTGTTTAGAGTCCACCTCTCAGCACACCCCTAGCTTCCAACAAACTCATCCCATCGTCCTGGTGACTGTGCGGAGCAGTTCTGCAGGCTTTCTCCACGGCCCTGCATCATTGGGATCAAAATCTGTTGAACGGCGCTGGCAAGAAGGATGGGCAGGTGTGCTGGAAGAAGGGGCAGAGCTTTGAGGGACATTCGAGGCGGTGCATCTGTTCAGGTCAGGAACTGTTTAAAGTTGAACCCATCACCTCTGTCCATCCCACCGCCACACTGCGGGTGAGCTCGGTTCATTGACCATTGATGCTCACGTTCCGTGCGTGCATTTCCATGCCATGGAACACATCCCAGCTGGGTATGATGCCCTGCACTGTCACAAGTTTCGCTAGATTTTTCCAGGTTGCCTAAGGCATCGGGAGCAGGAATTGTTCTAGAGTCCCAGTGCCGAGGTGGGTGAGAGTGAAGCACAGCCATGAATTTCCCATGCTTTAAGACTCGAGCCCTGTAGTCAGCCTACAACATCCCGTACTCACATTCAGTGAAGTAATCACCGCTTGCTTCATCTCTTACTCCTACGACAGTGAACTCCTGGCACACCCCATTCTTTCTGAAAGACAAACCAACACCACAGTGCTTATTTCTCATCCATTTTGTCCTCCTTCTGAGGAACTGTGGGAATAACAAGACATTCCAGGTGTTGAAACTAATACGCTATGTCAGTATTTCTCTCACATGATCTCCCTGGTGTTTTGGAGCTTTCCCATTTAACCCCAGGTTTGCACAGCCTTGGTGAGCACAGAGCGTCCAGATGGATGATACTCAGTGCTGTGCCACCAGACTCCCTGTGGTGAGCAAGATTTTCACCAACAACATTGGCCTGTACCCGCTTCATTCCCTCAGATCTCACCTCCAACTGCCACATCTAGGGGTGTTTGCCACTCATATTTGGGAGTGCATAGCCATCCCCACATCACAAGGAACAGTTTTGCTGTGTGTCACATAAACAGATCTCACCATTCTCAAAGAGATTCCTCCCCCTTTCTATACATGCTCCTGAGGGTATTGATGCTGAGGTCCTTATGCTCCAGGATACTGCTCAATTTCTGCTACTTAAGGTGATTAGTAATCAATAAGATGACGCTAATAGATGTACAAGACCATGGTGGCAAAACCTCTAGACAAATTCATTCCATACATCCATCCAGCCACACATTAGTCAAGGTCCTATCTCCACATGTTTCTACCTCCATCATGCTGCATATGTGCTATTATTTAAAGTTCTTGGAAACATGATGTTTAATTGATACCTCCATACTGTAGCTCACATTTGACTATATTATTGTTCATTTTCCCATTACACACATATGAGACCACACAGAAAGAGTTGGGTGGATCCTTCCCTTAGATCAGGGTAAATTTTACTTACTTGGCATAAAACCTGACAGATATATTTCTGCATTCATCTTGACATTCTATTTGTCGGACATAGTTTCTCAGTTCCCCACCCTCTTCGATCTTCTCCACGTTATCCGCAGCTAAGTACATGCTGCGCCAGTTGCCATCGATCTGCAAAGGCAAGTTCACGCTGGGCAGGTTAGTGGATGGCTTTGTTCCAGTCACCTTAACATCTCCACATCAGGCCACACTTCAGCTCAACACAAAAATACAAATGTGACCCTACCGGATAAATGCTTGGTCATGGTCCCTAAGAGGAAACTCTCCGAAGAAGCCACAGAATTCTTCAAATTCACACAGCACACAAGGCATTTAGAGATTTTGAAATAGCAAAGAGTCTGTACTTGGATGTTAGGCAGACTTAAAACTTTCATTCAGGTAACTTAGGCTTTTTGTTTATAAACGATTGTGATAGAAAACAACAGAGAGATCTCAAAAAAAAGATTCTTTCAGGAGTATAGACTGAAATGAAGAACATGGTTATAAAATTGGGTTAACCATGGAAAATAAGGACAGACACATAGAAACACATGCACACACACACACACACACACACTCTCATGCATACCCCACTCTAGAGTAGGTTAACCTTGCTACCTCTGAAGGGCTGAGATCATTCTGGGCAGAAGCCAAACTGACAGCAAGAGCGAGCAACAGAATCTGCATCCTGTTGTTGTTGCCTTTCTTCCTCAGCAGCAGCTCAGAGCAGAAGAGATGCTGAAGGGAATCAGAGCTGTGGCCTCTTTTATAGCACTGCTCCAGCGGGGGTAAGGCAGAAGGAACACGTTGTTCATCTGGCAAGCTTCACTCCTAACATTTCCTGATTGGAAGCAATATACTTCATGTATTTTTTTTATGATCATATTAATGAGATAAGCTTCAGCAGAAGTTTCATTTCGCCTGTATAAGTGACCATTTCAGCCCCGGAGAGAACACAGCACATAGGGAACATTCAAGGATATTTCCAGCAATTTCTCTCAAATCCAAGTTAATAGTAGAGAAGATAATCACAGCACAAATATTGCAATACCAATATTACTCCTTCAGATTCCAGACAGGACACTAAAACTTACTTTGGAACGTGAAACATGGTGCTCTCTGGCTTGGCCAAGTGAGAACATGGCATCTATACCTTGAAATGCCTGGACCTACGTGTCTCACAGGAGTTTGTTTATTTTTAAGTAAACATTGCAAGCCGGGACTTAAACTTCATCCTTGAGATCACAGCTCTCTGGGGAGACTGAAGCAGGAGGGTCACAGACCGAAGCCACTTCTTGATGTAGTGAGACCCACACAGAAAATATATAATGAAAGGTGCTAAGGAAATAGCTCAGTGGTAAAGTGCTGAGTTTGAGCACCAGCATTTATAAAAATGAAGGGAGTACAAATGAAAATAATCATCAAAGAAAATACAAATTGAAAATCTCCCACATTTTCTTAAATCAATTATGAATCTCTCCCTTCCGGTATTTACATACAATCTTCTTTTCTAGACCCCAATTTAGTTCATCCAGAATCACTCAAAATCCCAGCCATTGTCATGTTTCTCTTTTACAATTTAGATCTGTGATCCACTTTGATTTTACATTGCTGCATGGTGAGAGATACATTTCTAGGTTCAGTCTTTGGCAACTTGAAACCCAGTTTTTCCAGCACCATTTATTAAAGAGGCTGCCTTTCCTCCAGTGAGCGTTGTTGGCTCCTCTGTGGAAGATGAGTCGGTTGAGTGTGTCTGGAGTTCTTTCTGCATCTTCTAATCTGTTCCAGTGTTCTTCGGGTCTGGTTCTTTGCCAATACAGAGCTCTTTTTAGCACAGTTGCCCTGTAGGGTAGTTTCAAGGTGGAGACTGTGATACCCCTTACCTAGCTTTCATTGCCTAGAATTGCTTTTGCTCTCCTAGCTCTCTTCCAGCACCAAATGAAGTTTTGGATTGTTTTCTCAAGATCAGTGTTGTATGCTGCTGGAATTGCAGTTGGGATTGCATTGAGTCTGTATAGCAGTTTTGAAAGTATGGCCATTTTCATTATCTTGGTTTTCCTACCCAGGAGCAAGGCATGGAGCAAGGTCGTTTTCTGATGTCCTCTTTGTCTCTTTTTTACAGGGTGTTATCGAATTCAGAGTAAGTGCCTTTGATTTCTTTCATTTTGTGGATTCCTTGGTATTTCAACTTTTTGTGAAAGGAAGTTTTTACCACATTCTCTCTCGGTGAGACTGTTTTTTGTGGAAAGGAAAGCTATATTACTGAACTTGGTTATTATGTGTGTAAGACTAGTGGTAGAGTTCTTGAGGTCTTCCAAATAGAGTATCACGTCATCTGCAACTAAGGACCACTTGACTTCTTCACTTCCTATCTTTATTCCTTGTATGTCTTTCTTCTGTCTCATTGCCATGTCTAGTGCTCCCCCAACTTTATTGAACAGGAGTGGTGATCGTCAACATCTTTCTCTTTTCTTTGGTTTTAGTGAAAAGTATTTAAGTTTTTGACCATCTAGTAGATACTGGCTGTTGGTCTTTCATGGATGGCTTTTAACTAATTGATATAGAGACGGGTTATTCCAATTTTTGTAAAGTTTTTATTATGAATGCATGTTGGATTTTGTTCAATGATTTTCTGCATCTATTCAGATGATCATATGGTTTTTGCCATTGGCTGGATTTATATAGTGTAATACACCTGCTAGGGCCCACACTAAGCCAGGACGTGTGGGCACACGTGCCCAAGATGTGGCCTTTCTAGAAACGAGCTGCCCAAGTGTGCATACTTCATTGGGATTTCTGCAGTACCATCGCTAAATGCACACATCCCAGGGAGCAGCTATGTGGATTCTTTTTGTTTAATTGCTTGTTGGGCCTGATGGTTTCATTCTGATAGGGATCCAAAAAAAGGACTAAGTTCCCACATGAGTAACTTATGACTTCTTCTCAAGGAACAGCAAAATAGGCATAAAACAAAGCCCAGATTTTATCAAATGAAACCAATGTTAGAGAAGATAGTAAGTGAGACAGTGGATGAAAAGACAAAAGATCCAAGCAAAAGAGAGCTACGCTTCCAAAGGATCAGCAGACTCTGCAAAAATAAGGCAAGACACTATTCAAATACATAAACTCAGATAGGAATAAATCACAAATGGCACCACTGGAATGCAAAACATCATTAGACACAACACCTGACCATAGCCAAAAGGCTGAGAAGTGATTCAAAACATCACAGAGATTACTGAGTGCCAACAAATTTGGCAGCCAAAAAGAAATTGACAAATTCCTCTGAACAAGCAGCTTGCAGGACTCAACTATGAAGCAATAGTAAATGTGAACAGGTCAGTTTCAAATTGCAAAACTAAACCAGTAATTAAAAAAAAAGAAACAGAACCTTCCCACATCACCTGCTCAACATTCAGTCACTGCTACTTTTGCTCTCCACATCTAAAGAAAAAGGTAACAGCAGATCTCATTACATTGTTCACAAACCAAAGAGATTCCTTAAAAATTCAATAAGCACGATAACAAAAAAAGATCTACTAACCATTATCTGCTGATACCAAATTAATCAACAAATCACCGGGAAAGCTAAGCCTAACACAACAGAAGATTCGCTATGACCAAGGACTGGTTATCCACAGTATTTTATTCTTAGCCCGTGCTTGTGGTTACAGAATGGTTACCATTATTGTGACATGTTTTCCACCTCCTGAACCAGACCAAGAATGTGTGCATTTCATTCATCAGGAGTTTCTCATCCAATCACCCAGTCCTGGCCAATAGCATATTCCAAGTTTATGAACATCCACTAAAAAAACAACATAGTAACCTTGCAGTTCAAAAACACTTGAAAATGTTTGCTTTGTAGTACAGTGGAACTTTTAGAGGTACTGATGAGGTCATTAAAATTCTGCCCATATGGGCTGTACAGTGATGTTTCATATACACCCTCTTGACATTTACATGAAATACCTCTCCATAGCAGAGTCAGCATACCACATACCATATGCACAGAGAACACCTGCCGTGTGTATGAAACGTACTGAATGATACATCTAAAGCATACCAGAAAATGTGATTAATAAAAAATTGATACTTTGAAACTCTTATCTGTTTTTCAATCATCATCTTTCATCTTGCGTGATTTATCTTGGTGCTGTGAAGTAGGTGGTGGAACCACTGAGCTAAGTCTCCGGCCCTCTCTCTCTTTTTATTTATTTATTTAATTATTTATTTTTTTCTTTTTGGTCCCGGTGATTGAACTCAGGTTCTTGTGTTTGCCAGGCAGGCAGCAGAACCACTGAGCTACAACCCCGGCCCGACTCTTGTTGTTTTAAACAAGGCTTTATAACATTTACAACATGGTTGAAATAGTTTTCCCTGCTGTTTCACTTATACTTATTCACATCTTTAGTTTCTTTTTCAATTAGTAGAACTACAGGGTGAGCAATAATCGCATTCATCCAGGGGAAAGGCGCCTGGTACCTGCAGCACCTGGATAGGTTTGACTTTGCCTCTGTTTCCTGTCCTCCCTATCCGCTCACCCCCAGACCTCCACCATATGGTTCCCAGTGGGGAGCTCAAAATCACAGATACATACGAGGGCACCATGTGGAACATATGTGCACACAAATCTTCAAAATTATTACATTCAACTTTTATCAATTTTCAAGATATTATACTCTTGGCCTCACTTTATTCCTTTCTGTATTCCTTCATTTTTTCCCTCATTTCCTTCATGCTTTCTTGTTTCTTCTTTGTCCTCCTCCTCCTCCTCCACCTTCTCTTCCTCAATCTCCTCCTCTGTCTGCTCCTCCTCCATCTCCTCCTCCTCCTCCTCCTTCTTCCCGTTTCTGCTCTTTTCCTTCTTCTACTTATCTGTTGCTCCTTTTTGCATTTCCTTCTTCCTATCTCTCTCTCTCTCTCTCTCTCTCTCTGACTCTAATTGGGAGCACACTCATCTCACCTATTTCATTAAAAATCTATTCACGTATATTATGGATTTGACATAATACTTAAAGTGACTGAAACCCTGTCAAACCCTTCATGTAGCAATAGTACCTGCACATTCCCCTTTTCAAAAACACTACTCATACTAATTACATCTTTAAAGCTGATTATATAATCATCAACAGAATGATGACATTTATACACAATAGAACACTGGTCAAAAATTAGAAGAAATAACTTGAATCAATTGAAGGAAAAATGGTTGCACTTAGAGGCCACCTGTTTAAGTGAAATAAGTTTAAATATAACACATTTTTCTTTATAGGAAAAATCCAGTAGATAAGAAAAGGGTTAAATAAGAAATAGATTTCAAGATACACAAAGGCAGTTTTTCTCTGAAGTCAAGGGGACCAAGACTTGGTGGGAAGAGTTTAGGGGCAAAAAGAGATTAAGTGCATCCCATATAGTTTCCAAGTCCCCATGGGAAACGTAATCCTCATATATTGCAAATGCATAATAGTGAAATAAAGGTGCAAAGGGATTTAAAAGTATAAAGTCCATGGAAAATCAGTATGCAGAAAATGAGACTCTCGTGCAGAATTTATGATAATGAACCTTCATGCAGATTCCATCATGTGAATGGGCCACATATTTTTTTATCCAAGACATTCTACTTATTTAAATAACATGTACGTGAATGTTGAGACTTGTTTAAAATGCTCACTGTTAAGAAAACACTCCTTGAATATATAATGGCATGAAAATGTAACCC